GTTGTTATTAGGACAACTAGAAGATCAAATCTGTCATTGTGAGAGCAATACCTGGCACATGGGTAAGCACCGATTATGTGGCTGCTGCTGTTATCATGGTATTATTATCCCTACTTTTTGCAAATGAGGAAATCAGCTCAAAGAAATGAAGTAATTTCCTCAAGCCCACACAGATTGCAAGTAGTAGATCAGGGAACTAAAAGCCACATTTTCAGGCTAAAGAAGGACCATTTGTAAAATATCTACTATCTGCAGGCAGTACCATAGAGCAAAGGACTATTAACCCCATGGGGTGGGGGTGAAGCCAGAAAGCCAAGTCCAGGCTGGGGCTTGAGGAGTGGAAATTCGGGCTTGTCATGTTCTTGATCTTGCTGGGATAGTAGAAATACTGAGAAGCTTGTAGAACCTGTAGGTGCCTAGGGCTGTATCCTGGCCTTGAATAAGAACCTCAAGGAGTGGGGAGGGCAGATCCTTTTACAAACTCCCTACCTGATTCTTACGTGGGACCCCGTTGAGAACTACTAAGCTAGAGGGTCTCAGAGGCAAGGGGGTAAACGGGATGCCAGAGAGAGGCACGAAAACCTAGAGTCATAGCGTGCCTAAATTGGAGGGAGCCGGGGGATGCTGTGACTCTCATTTCACAGACGGGAAACTGAGGCCCGAGAGGGGACTTGGCGAGTCCAAGGTCCCACGGAGAGTCAGCAGCGGAGTGACCTCCACCCCGTCTTAGGGCCGGCCCCTGAGCCTGCAGACAGCCCCTCCTGCCTCTCCGGGCTATGTGGAAGGGAGCCATGGCCCGGGCTGCTGGATTGCTGGCAGGCTCAATGTGTGAGTTTTTCAAATGGCTTTGACTTTTGAGTCCATTAGTGATTAATTCAGGGTTCCATTTAGAGCCAGCTGATCCATATTTGGAGGAGGAGAACATTTTGTGGCAGCCGAGATGCAGCCACAATTCATCTGTGGGCAGCCCGCCCACTCTGCAGCCTGGGAAGGCACCAACTCCAGGCAGGCGCCCCACCAGCACCCTCCCCCAGAGGACTCTCCAGGAGGGCGACTCGAGTCTCTCACCTGGAAGAAGGGTGGGCAGCACAGCCCGAAGAACTTGGTTTAGGGTTCAGTCCTCCACTCTATCTCTTCCCAGCTGTATAACCTTAGGTACAACCCTTAAACTCTCTGAGCCTCAGTTTACCCATCTACAGGAATGATGGCCACTCCACTTCTCCCGCAGGGAGTTGTTGGGAAAATTCGGTGAGATGATGTGTGTGAGTGCACCCAGCACAGAGGCTTTGTCATGACAGGAGGGTGGCGAGGGCCGGGGAGTTTCTTCTCTGTCCCTCAGCAGCCCCTGGTGCCTCCTGGGGAAAGAGCTTTGGTGTTTGTATCTCTGGCTTTAACATGTACCACTGTGTGACCTTAGGCAGATGATTTTACCTACTTGACTTTGAGCTTCCTCATCTGTAAAAGAAACAATAGGCCCTTCCTTGCAAGATTGGCATGAAACATGAAGAATGTCCGTGAGAGCTGGCTGCCCAGAGCGGGCACTCCCAGTGGTGCCCATGGTGGGGGCAGGAGCCCAAGTGCACTTGCGCATTGCCTTAGGGATTTAAAAAAATAACAAAACATTATTTTTTGTTGAAAATTGGTCTTATTGAAAGTTGGTCTGCTCTCTATGACCTCAAGCCGGCAATTCTAACAATGACAGTGACAAAATGCTCCTTTTGACTGGGGCCTGCCACTCCCACTGCCCTTGACCCTTTTTTATTTTCTTTTTTTTTTTTTTTTTGAGATGGAGTCTTACATTGTCGCCCAGGATGCAGTGCACAGATGCAATCTCAGCTCACTGGAACCTCCACCTCCCGAATTCAAGTGATTCTCTTGCCTCAGTCTCCAGAGTAGCTAGGATTACAGGTGCATGCCACCATGGCCAGCTAATTTTTTATATTTTTGGTAGATGGGGTTTCACCATGTTGGCCAGGCTGCTCTTGAACTCCTGACCTCAAGTGATCCGCCTGCCTCAGCCTCCCAAAATGCTGGGATTACAGGCATGAGCCACTGCACCTGGCCTGACCCTCGCCCCTTGTAGGCCACTGGACAGTTCAGCAGTGAGGGCTTTTCTTCCTCCTGGTTGACCTGTGGTGCCCAGCGCCCACCCCAGTACCTTCCTGGAGAATCTCTCCCCCAACCCATTCCACACCCTGCTTTCTGCTCCCTCCCAAACGTGTGCAGTCCCTAGACCCTAGTGACAGCTCAGGCCCCTTACGTGGTCAAGGCAGCAGTCATGGTGCTCTCCATGAACACCACACGCCACTCCAGCTCCCATCCATCACGCCCTAGCCCAGGTCTGCACAATGCCACTGGAAGGAGGTTGGCTCCCCATCGGACAGAGTCAAGATATGAACCTGGGCCTGCGTGCTTGGAGAGATCTGGCGGTTTGCCTCGGGTCTCATAGCTAGAGGTAGAGAAATAGGATCCAGATAGATCTGTGAGCATCCCGGCAGGAAACAGGTGGCACATTCAGCGGGGTCTGTGAAGGAGCTTTGCAGTGAAGGAACTGTTCAGAAGGAGGCCCAGGGAACCACCCAGGGACCAGCCCTGACTCCCTCAGGCCTGAGGTGCCAGCTGAGAGCTGGAGCTGCGGAAGCTGGCTGCTAGCCCAAGACGGCGGGAACACAGACGCTGCAGAGTCGTGTGGGGCTGGGGGGAGAGGAGGATAAATTCCCCACCCCTCCCTCATACCTCCGGTCCTCCTGGAGCTTCCCTTAAGCCGAAGGGCAAGGGAGGTAGGAACGCTGTCAGTAGAGATCAGCCTCCCAGGGCACAGAGTGCAGTGGGCACACAGAATCTCAGCATAGTTTCTTTCCACTCTCCTGGGGCTGGGATCTGAAGGATATTTTTCTAGTCAGTGAGACGTGAAACAGTGTGTGGCTGGCAGGGTGGGAGGCCTCCACCTACCATCATCGTCAGAGCCCTGCGAGAGCCTCCTGCCTCCTGCTCTACTTCTGAGTCTCCACTCATAAAATCACTCTCCAAATTCTTCACCTAGTTTTTGTTGTTTTTTGAGACAGAATCTTGCTCTGTACCCCAGACTGGAGTGCAGTAGTGGGATCACAACCGGCTGTAGCCTCAAACCTCCTGGGATCCAGTGATCCTCCCACTTCAGCCTCCTGAATAGGTGTGCGCCAGTATGCCTGGCTAATTTTCAATTTTTTTTTGTATAGATGGGGTCTCCCTATATTGCCCAGGGTGGTCTCAAACTCTTGGGCTCAAGCGGTTCTCCCACCTCGGCCTCCTGAAGGGCTGGGATTACTGGCGTGAGCCGCTGCACCCGGTCTTCACTTAGTTACATGTCCCTAAATTCCACCAATCAGAGCCTCATTTGAGTCAACAAACCACATGCCCTGGAATGTCAATAGGGGACTGTTAGTCACTCAGTCCTGCGTACAGATTCCTTTCCTGGGATTGCTGGCCTCTCGGCACTCCGAGGAGAGCAGAGGTTTGATGGCGGACAGGAGAGGAACGGGAAAGGATTGAGCGAGGGAGGGGTAATTTTGGAGCATGGAGGGGATCACGAAGAAAGGGGACAGCAGGTCTGGGTCAGGGTGGTGGGCTCCCACTGTAACAGTCTAGGTGTGGGTTGTTCACAGCCCATGGGCACAGGGGCACCTGGAGTATAGGAGAGAAACACAGAGAGGGGGCACGCTGGGTATCCCCTCCGAGGCCCCGGGTAACACAAATACCCTCACCTACCAGACACTGCGCTGACGGTTCATACATCTCCCCTCATTTAATCCTCAGCAGTGTGGGGGGGGGAAGATTTATTACCCCCACTGCAAAGAGGAGGAGACTGAGGCTCAGGTGGATTCAGAACCTTGCTCGACGCCTCAGAACTATTAAGTGGCAAAGTCAGGATTTCAACGTAAATCTGTCTGGCTCTAGAGACAGTGTTTTTAACCAGCCTGTGGTGACCCCACCACCCACCATCTACCATTTACACACAAACACACACACCCTTCAGCCTCCTTCACACTGAACCCCCGCCCCACCGCCACAGACCTCCAAGAGAGGTATCATTCTCGTCCCTTATCCAGATGATGAAACTAAAGTTCAGAAATGTCAAGTGAGCTGCCTGAGGTCACACAGCCCTGCCACAGCAGTTCAGGTTCTGGGATCCAGGCCTCCTGGGCCCCAGGGCACCACTGTCTCACCTCCACTGGCTGCCTTGGTTGCTGGACCTGTAGGCCTAAGAGCCTGCTGGTGGACAAGGACCCAGGTTCAGGGCAAGAGGGACAGGGAATGAGGGCTCATCCTCTCTCAGCCTGAGGCAGAGCTCCCTCCCACCCTCTTACTCTCAGGGATCACATGGCCATTTCACCATCTGCCTGTATCTTATAACCAAAATCCTCTTGACTGGCATGGGATCCTATAGACAGAGACATTGCCGACAGGGATGATTAGGAAGACCACTCAGTCCATGATCTCCTAGGACCAAGCTTGCTGTCAAGTGGCCTGGCAAGGCTGGTGGTTAGCTGGCTGCAGGCAGCTGGGTTCTAATCCTGGCTCACTCAGGCCCACAAAGTGACCTCTTTTCTCGGGTTGAGGATGGAAATTGGCAGATGGCCAGAGGTGTGGACCCTGGCTTCCCCAAGGTCCTGCTGGCTTCCCCATCTGTAACCGAGGGACTGGACGTAAGCCCCTTCAGTTCCGACATCCTACGACAAACCCTCGTAGAGTGTGCTGCTGGCTACAGGGCATATTCTCCTAACTTTCCTCTCACCTGGCTCATCTTTGCATCCTGCATGGTGTGCCTGGCACACTGGAGGGTCCAGGGATGTTTCTAGAAGACATATTTATTACTGCGCTTTATTATTATTGATTACCACCTTTTCTGCAGTCGACCCCGAGTCTCCTTCCTCAAAGAGACAGCCCCACCCCTTGCAGCAGAAGACAGGCTTGCTGGTCTCCTTCTCCCGGCCACACGGCCCTCATGCCTCTCTTCTCAGCATCCACGACACCTTCCTGAAGCTCTGCCCTCCTGGGAAGTACTACAAGGAGGCGACGCTCACCATGGACCAGGTCAGCTCCCTGCCGGCTCTGCGGGTGAGTCCAGGATGGTGGGTGGGGCGAGGGCAGCATCAGTGGGACTGGCTGATGGGCTCATGGGTGCTGGAATGGGTGGGGCGGGTTGGGCACTCCATGCTGTGGGATGGTCACCTCACTCCAAGGGACTCCTGATCCTCCAGGCAGGGGAGCACAATGACATGGCTCCCAGACACTTCCTGCATGCATCCGGCCTCCCTCCATCCTCGCCTCGGTCCTAGAGCAGGACCGTGTGATAACTGTCACTACTTCTCAGGTGGGGCCAGGGGCAGAGGGGGCATGAGACCTGCTCCAGGCCTCACCGTGGGAGGTGGTAGCCCCAGCTGGAGATGCTCACTGACCCAGCTGATCAGCCTCCGAGGCCAGCCTGTGGGTCTTTGGGTGGGCTTCAGCTTGCAGTCCACCCCACGCTGTCTGCTCATTCCTTACTTAATCCTCACCCCAGCGACCCCACACCAGCCAGTTTCCTCTGCTGTCTGTTGTGCCCCAAACTAGGGCAAGTGGTCCTAGGCCAGGATCCCCTGCAGGACCGTCAGTCCTTGAGGAAGCCAGGGAGAAACCCCAGCCATCGGCCCAGTCCTTCAGCCCTTCTCTTCTCCTCAGGCTGCCTTAGTGGACTTGGGCTTTTCTGGAGGAACTGATAATTTTCTGAGGTTCTTCTCTGAGAAACCAGAAGGAGCAGGGCTTGGGGCCCAGAGACTGTCCTCCCAAACTGCCTTCTTCCAGCTCCAGGGATGGCTGCAGGAAAGAAGAGCGTTTGCATTTCTGCTCTTGCAATCCTCTCTCTCCTCATCTCACCCTCAATTTAGCCAGTGCTCCCGGACTGGAGGTTCCTGTTACACAGAGGGCTGGTTGAATGCTCATTCCCCTCAGCTTCCACAACTTTTCCCGGGCTGAATCTCACCTTCCAAGTACCCAGAACACGCTCCCACCCCGCCCAAACACACACCCTTGCTATGGGTGGATCCTTGGCAAACCTTCCCTGGTCTTGGTTTCCTCACCTGTAAAATGGGTAGAGCAGTAGGGGGAGGCTGGGAATGACCATGTGCACTCTAAGACTCCTGACTTCACAGGTAGTGCCAGCCTGAGCTGCCCCTGCTCCCCCAACCTCCCAATCCTTTAGGGACAATTATCTGAGCCTTTATCCCTGTGATGAAGAGGCCCTGCCCTTCCCCCAGGGCAGCCTGGAAGAGCCCAGAGGCACACAATAAAAGACTCCAAAATCACTCCTGAGATTTTAATTAAAATTTGTGCATCGCATTGAGAGGCAATGTCATGTTAACAAATCATGGCTACGTCAGGCTTTCCTATTTTTCATTTGGTTCTTGGCAGAATAATGATTTCAGTTTGTCATTGTTCAATGAGAGCCCATCTTCGTTTCTGTCTGGGGCGAACTGGGCTCTGAGAGCTGTGGCCACCACTTGGAAGAGGCCCGGGGACACCAGGGAGGAGGAGGCTGGCTCCTGAGGGAGGAACATGGAGGGGGCACAGACATGTCATTCAAGTCACAGCTGCACCGCTCCTCCTAAGTGACAGGCCTATCTGTAGGGCAGACAAAGACAGAGGAAAATGCACAAAGATGGGTCTTGAAATAGAGGCAGGAGTGGAGAAGACAAAATAATGAGAAAAGGTGAGGGGTGGGTAGGTGGGTGGGCAGAGCTGGGAGAAGCTGGGATTCTGGAGGGGAAAGAAATAGAATCCTCAGAAAGGTGAGTAAATCGGAGACTGTGGCTGTGACAAAAACAAAAAGGGAGGCAGTCTTCCTGGCACCCCCACTTCCTGGCCTCACCTGCACACAGTCACACCCCACGTGTACAAGTGCATGGACTCCACCACATGTACACATGCGCCTGGGACTTCTCTCAAACCCAGGCCATCCGCTGAGGGCCCTGGGGCTAGGGCCAGCCAGAGAGGCAGGGTGGATGAGAAGCTTCTGTCCTCCCCTGGGTGGAAGCAGGGTCACCGGTCAGTCCCAGACTCTCTGAATGTTAAGACTGGAAAGAAACTTGGAGACCACCCAGTCTACTCACTGTCAAATGCTCCTCGCCCTGATTTTATTCGTGAGGAAACTGAGGTCCCAGGAGGGAAACAACTTTCCAGGGGCTACATGATGGAAGAGTCTGGACTAGTCCTTGCTTTAGGGGAGTCAGTCTGAACTCTGACCCAGGCAGGGCCCCCTATTCTAATCAGGGCTTGGCTGAGCAGTGACCATGTGCCTGGGTCTTCCAGGTGCCACAGAGGGCCCAAGGGGAGCCGAACTGGAGGGGTGGCATAGAGGGTGTTGGTGACCCATGGCCCCAACACATTCTTCTCCAGTAATAGCCTTGTCTCAGCAGGGCCTGGAGTCTCTGTTTGGAGCCCCAAAGGACTAAGATCAGGGGGACTGAGTCTGGGCCTGGCGCTATCACACTCCGTGCATGTTACATCCCCCCATCTATAAACCAATATGAATACCTTGTGCTGGGTAAGGGACACAGTGGAGGTGAGCCATTGTCTTCTGCACCCTCTTTTATGCTTCCCCTGTTCCTCTCTTCCATGTCATGGGTGAGGAGCCTGTTGGGGTTAGGGGTGGGGTGCAGCAAGGCTTGAGAAGACCTGGGGTGGGGCAGGTGGGGCAAGGCCTGCTCTTCCCAGCAGATAATCTAGGTGCACAGGCCGGGGCTGGGATGCTCCACCTTTTCTAGACTCTCAGACTCCCCTTTCCCCCCGAGCTTGCTCACTGGAGAACAGCTGGGAAGCAGGGTCTTGGCCACATGACTTTAATTTTACTTTTCTGATTTAATCTTAAATGGTCATGATTTTATTCTATTATACAAATAAGAGCCAGCTCATTGTAGAAAAACTAGAGAACACAGAAAAACAAAAATAAGATAAAAATGGTATATTAGTCTAGCTCAAGGGATGACTGCCATGATCATTACGGCTTATTTCCTTCCAGACTTTTATCTGTGCAGATATATACATGTTGATTGGGATCCCATTGATTTTTTTTGTATGTTGCTTTTTTTTTTTTTTTCTACTTGGGTTTCTTTCTTACCTTTCCAACTGGTCTCCAACAGCCAGAACCATCTTATGAAGGGAAAATCCTGAGCCACTGCCCCACCTAGAGAACTAGGGATAGGGCACTGGGCCAGGCCTGAAAGAACTAGGTTTGGATTCACTTGCTAGCCACATGATCTTGGGCAAGTCACGTCACAAGAGGAATGATTGGGGTTAGGAGAAGCAAAGGGGCAAATAGACTTCAGCTAACTATACTACAAGGCTACAGTAACCAAAACAGCATGGTACTGGTACAAAAACGGACATGTAGAGCAATGGAACTGAATAAAGAACCCAGAAATAAGGCCACACACCTACAACCATCTGATCTTTGACACACGACAAAAACAAGCAATGAGGAAAGAATTCCCTATTCAATAAATGATGCTGGGAGAACTGGCTAGCCATATGCAGAAAATTGAAACCAGATCCCTTCCTTATACCTTATACAAAAATTAACTCAAGGTGGATTAAAGATTTAAATGTAAAACTCCAAACCATAAAAACTCTAGAAGAAAATTTAGGCAATGCCGTTCAGGGTACAGGCATGGGCGGAGATTTCATGATGAAATTGCCAAAAGCAATTGCAACAAAAGCAAAAATTGACAAATGGGATCTAATTAAACTAAAGAGCTTCTGCACAGCAAACAAAACTGTCTGTGCAAGTCGGAGTGGGAAGCAGTGGGGAGTGGAGGCTGTTTTCCGCAGGTGAAAGGCTGTCCTTGGAAAAGGAAGGGTCTCACTCTAGGTGGTCCCAGGCATAGGTACAGGTAAAGCACGTGCAGGTTTCTCCACAATACAAGGAAACACTCCCTAACTGCCAGCGCTATGCACAGAGGGAAGGCGCTCTCTGTCACTGAGGGATGTTCTAGCATCCTTAAGTCTCAAAGAGAGATTGGACCACTGCTCTGGTGCCCTCCTCACTCTGAGTCTGTGGTTCTGGCCCTAGGACTTGCTCTTACTCTCTTTTGTGATGTGCCATCTACCACAGTATGTCCCAGACTTACAAAAAATTTTGGGGTACATAGGTGTATATATTTATGGGGTACATGAGATGTTGTGATGCAATGTGAAATAAGCATATCGTGGAGAATGGGACATCCATCCCCTCAAGCATTTATCCTTTGAGTTACAAATAATCCAATTACCCTCTAAGTTATTTCCAAATATACAGTTATTATTGACTATAATATCTGTATTAAAAATATATATCTATATAGACCATAATACCTTGTTGTGCTATCCAATAGTAGGTCTTACTCATTCTTTCTATTTTTTTTTGTACCCATTAACCATCCCTGCCTGCCTCACCCCCTACCCTCCCACTAGCCCTCCCAGCCTGGTCCCAGACTTTTTATTTAAAAAAATTCATATATTTTTTGAGGAGGGACCAGAGATGCCAACTTTCAGTTTTGCCAAGTAAGGACGTTTAAAAAAATGTCATCCAATGTCAGTGACCATCATTTTATTTTAAAGAAATATTAATTTTAAAACAAAAATGTAAGAAGCCTCGAGTGTTTTCAGACACACCCCTTTTTGTCCGTGTTGTTCTCCGTTTGTCACTGGTTGTCAAGAACTTTGTCACTGACTCGTCCCTAGTGCTCAGACCAGCTTTTGGAGACCTAGAGCGAGGACTAAAGATTCCTTCTGTGCCTTTCCGATTCTGGACAAAGCAGTAGTCTTGCTTCCCAAAATGAGCAAGGAGAGACTTGCTAGGAGGTGGGGGCCCGGGTGTGCCTGCGTCCTCTGTGGCCGCAAGGACGGGAGCTGCGTGACTCACACTGCCCAGAACACGTCTCTGGAACAGGCTTTGAGAACTGGGCCCCAGGGAGCTCTGGGTACTGATATAACTTGGCTCAGGGGCTTGAGTGGTCTGGGAAGAAAGCTCTGTTTTCTTAACTTGGGTTCACTCATGGAAAAAGCAGGCTTGGGAATATTGGGAAGGGTCTGCCCATCAGCGG